CCTCCTCTTTTTCTTTTTCTCTTCTTTTTCTTTTTTTTCTTTCTCTGCCTGTATCTAATTTGCTCATTTTGTATCTCCAAAGTCAGTAAGTTTAAAACACACTTTATGTTGCTAGGACCTCGTGACTCTAACGTTCCCGGGTAGGATTGCATCTACAAGAGGAGAGGTTACGATTGCAGCACATTCTCTGGGGACATAGTCAACTCATAACAGCTGACACAGAACTTGCTGCCCCCAGGGGACTTTTTTAAAGTTTTAGAGCTACTTCAAGGGTATTGGGAAAGTACCAAAAGGTTCTGAGCCTTAAGGCTTTAAGTAGTTTTAAAGTCCCTGTTCAGCATGAAGAAGCCAGAGAGTCGGCATCCAATTCCCAAATCAATAAGACAGTTGGTTTAATTACTCTTGGAAAATGCTTGTCATTCCTCTGTAGCATCTGGTCCCCACTGGACCCTCATCATTTCCTTCACCTGCTCCCCCCACCGACCAAACTGTGCAGCTCTGCAACTGCATCCTGGCCCATCCTCACCCTTCTGCCGCCAACCCTCACCTCCTTGTACCTCCAATATGTTTTTCCCAATAAAAAAAAAGTAGTTTTAAAGTTTATGACAACAGCCCTGTACATGGTGTATCGGAAGTGAGTGGGTAGACATTTGTATTGAAGCCCTATTTTAAACCAGTGGGGAGAGGATAGACTGTCCAGTGAGTAATGGTGGTAAAATCTGGATAAAATTAGAAATCTACCGTGTGCACTCGCTTATGCCATCTATAGAAAAATACATTCTGGATGCTTGAGGAACTAAAAGTAATTTTTTAAAAAAATAACGAGATGTTTCTTTTGCAAAGTAGAACACTACTCTTTTTTAGCATCCTGGGGGTTAAAACTCAGAAGCTGTAAAAAAATTATGCGCATATTTGCCTGCATAAAAAAAGTTAAACTTCAGCATAATAATAGTCCAGAGGCTATAAATAAGGGAAGACAGTAGACTGAGAGAATATATTTGCAGTATCCCTAGCATGCAATAGGTAGATGATACTCAGAATTTCAAGTTTTTCAAAGCAACAGTAAAAACTCCTACAATAGCATAATATGCTAGTAAATATATGAGAAGATATTCAACCCACCGGTGGTTGAGGAAATGAAAATTAAACAGCCACCAAATAGAATTTTCCCTCTTTCAAAATACTGATACTAATCTCTGTTGGCAGATTCTCTGTGCAGAGAATTGCATATCTTTTTTTTTTGGACAGAGCTTTGGCAGAAAATAGCAAAACATCCTAAATGTGAATATGCTTTTACCCAGTGATTTTCTATCTGGGAATATTTCATAAATATTCATATGTACACAAAGTATGTCCAAAGAGATTTTTGGCAGGATTGTTTGTATTCATAGAAATAAAAGTGGGGGGTGAGGAGGGGAGAGAATGAACAACCTGAGAACATCCCCAATGCCCATTAATTAGATTGCTTAAGCCTCTTCTGGGTGGCACAGATGGTTTTCACTCTCCTGTTAACCAAAGGTTGGCAGTTCAAACCAACGAGCAGCACCACAGATGAACTTGATCTACGTCCATAAAGCCACGCTCTTGTTCTCTGCCATCCACAGCCGACCAGTCACTGGGTTCTAGAGGCATCCAATTCCATGGGAGAAGGTCCCCCATGTCTCTCCCGAGGAGCAGCTGGCAGATTTGAACTGCGTACCTTTGGCTTTGGGCTGGCAACGCAGCTTCTTACCACCAGCCCACCAGAACTCCCTTCCATAAAGACTACAGCCAAGAAAATCCCATGAAACACTTCTGGGTTGCATGGTGTCACTAAGTTTAAATCCACAACATCAGAGACAGAGTGAGAGAGCAAATTCTGTTTTGGGGTTTTTTCCCCCATTTTTTCCCCATTTTATTATTTTGTGTTTGTGTATACTATCAAATCGGATCTGACTGGTATAGGAGGAAATCGCCCCTCCTTCTCCAGCAGAGCATCTGGTGGATTTGAACCTCATATCTCTGGGATTGCAGTGCAGCTTCTTCCCACTAGGCCACCAGGGCTCCCTTAAATTCTGCTTCTTAACAAGAAGTGATTTTATCTCCAGGGGGCCTGTTATAATGTGAGGAGACATTTTTGGTTGTCACAGTGTTTTGGGGGTTACTATTGGAATCTGGTGGATAGAAGCCAAGGCACTGCCTATATCCTGTAGGACAGATATCACAGAAAACAAGGTCCACAGTTCCAGATGTCATCAGTCCCAGGCTGAGAACACGAACTTTGAGTTAAACAAAGTTAGGAGGGTTAGACTGAGCACTAAATAATCCATAAACTGGCAAGAGAAATGTAGGTCTTGGGGAGGGTGCAGGCAGGGAGGTCCCTGGAGAGAAGACTTGGAGCTTCTCCTGCTTTGTGCATGTTATTAAGAGGGATGGGAGAAGGATGGGCAATCTCCTCCCGAGCGATTAACTGCCTCTAAACACCCACTCGAGGGTCAATTATTGGTGGGTTCCAACTTGACGGTACCCAACAACAAACAGTCCTTCGAAAAGGACGTTATACTGGGAAAGTGGAGAGTCAGCGAAAGAGGAGAAGACCCTCAGTGGGCTGGGCTGACACGGTGACGGAAGCCTTGGCCTTGAGTGTGTCAGAGATGGTGAGGTTGCCACCGGACAGGACAGGCTTCAGACCCTTCCTTCACAGGGTTACTGTGAGTCACAGTCAAGGCCTCTGACAACAGCAGCATGGTTATGTTAGGGAAGACTGTGCAGCCATTTCAAGGAAATGGTACATCTCTATGTTGTTGTTATGTGCCATCAAGTCACCTGTGACTCATAGCTCCCCTATGTACAATAGCTCTGAAGCCTGCCCTGTCCTGAGCCGGTCTCACTGACTCTGATACACCTACTCCCATTGCCCTAGTTAGTATATCAATCCATCCATCTGGGGTCTTCCTCTCCTGCGCTGTCCCTCCACCCTCCTGAGCATGATGTCCTCCAGGGATCAGTCCCTCTTGGCCACGTGCGCAAAGTATGTGAGGTGGAGTTTCCAAATCCTAGCCTCCAAGGAGAGACTTGATTTCACTCTCTCCAAAGCAGACCTATTTGTTTTCTTGGTGGTCTATGGTAGGTTCAAGAGTCTTCTCCAGCACCACAACTCAAAGGCATCGATTTTTCTTTTATCATCCTTAGTCATTAACCTGTTCTCTGATGCATAGATGTTAAAAGATCTCCAAGGCATATCCTAAAATACTCCCTTTTTAAAATTTATTATGTCTTTTTGGATGTAGCCAGACAACTATAGTCTCTTCAAATCTGAGACTAGAGGAACTAAATTGTGCCTGGCTACCAATATTGACCGTCCAATAGAAAGTCCCAGATAGCATAGAAGAAAACTTAGAACATAGCTCAGCTTCCTTAAAATGACCAGGCCGGCCTGGATTGACCATTTGTCTACGTGGTACAGCACTTTTCTGTCAACATGCTGTACTGAGGTAGCCTGGGTTTGCTGTGATGCTGGACTTTGTGCCATTGGGGTATCAAATGCCATAGCAGTTGCCCATGGTGGACAGTGTTTGGTGGAACTCCCAGTTTAAGACAGGAGTGCAAGCAAGAGTGGAATCCACTTCCTATACAACAAGCCTCTGGAAACTCTATGAACTTTGATAAACGTCGGTAGTTATAGAAAGGCTTCCGGCCTTTGTTCATAGGTCTATGAACTATGAGTCATGCTCGACTCGACAGCAATCAACAACAGTAGACTGAAAGAGACTAGAAGAACTCCTGAGATTCTGCACTGCAATTCCAAAGGCACACGGTTCAAATCCGCCAGCCGCTCCGTGAGAGGATGGGCAGTCTCCTCCCGTGCAATTTCTGCCCCTGAAAACCCGCTGGAGGCTCAGCTGTGGGTCAGTGCTCGATGGTACACAACAACAAGGACCTTTGAACATGGAATTGATGCGATCTCTGCAGATCACCAGCCAAATAATAGATTGACTTACAATAGAAACAGCATCACTTGTGAGCAGTGAAATCCCTCTGGCCCTGAGCTCCAGGTCAACATGTGCCCATCAGCAGGGAATTCTGCATGGTTCACGTTGGAAGTCAATGTGCAAGGCGGCTGGAGGTCCCCTGATGAGACGTCCCACCTTAGCCTCCCTGCCTCGGCTTCTCTGTTGCATCTTTGTTCTCGGCTTCTGAGTGGGGAGGAGGGTGGAAAGGACCCTGTAACTGACTGAAGTCTGAGGAGCCTGGCACCTGGATGGGTGAGCCAGAGGTGGCTGTCTCTGCCACATGTGTGTTGAGGGCTGTTTTCTGATGACAGTAAAGCAGAGGCTTTAACTGAAAAGCGGAATTCAGCAAGATTAGGGCCTTATCGGTGTCCTTGTTCTGTCCAGTGGAGACTTTAGGGAACCGACTTGTGCTTACAGATGTACTTTACATCCTGGGCTGCCATCCGCATCTCTGATTTTTTGCACGAATGTGGCTTTCATCTCCTAGGCTTTTCCAGAAAGCCTCTTAGAGTTGGGTCTGAGACCTTTTGATGTTAGCTTTTATCCCTTACTTTCCCTCTGCCTGCCTTTCTCTTTCGCTGGAACTTGATTCCAAGGTTAGAATAAAAGCCCTCGACAGGAGGGTGGAGTTGAGGGGTGCTGGCTCCCGGCCCAGACTCTCCGAATGAAAGGTATCTAGTGCCCTCTTCAGCCTGACGCAGGCATTGCCCGTGGGCCAGATGTGGCAGGGACATGAGGGTGCAGGTCGTTGAGATTGTGGGGGTGGGGGTGCAGGCTGTGGGCAGCGGGCAGCAGTGCCCCCGAGAACAGCAGAGGGCACTACTGTCCAGCTCTGCGAGCATCTCCAGAAAGCTGCCTCTTCTGTCTGCTCCAGAAATTGCTCCTTCTGGGACTTGAGTGCTCCATTTCTTCCTTTTGGGGAGCGCATCCCATCTGAGGACGCAGACCCTGTTCTCGGCTGTCCAATTCCTGGCTCTGTATGTGTGTGTCCACACAAGTTAGGACACCATGAGTGGGACTCTGGAGTTCTCAGGGGACAGTCATTTCTCCCACGTGCCAGCAGAATGCTGTGAAATCACCTGTGACATTGAAGCCCACGACTCCATTCACTTCTTTGTGGTAAGGATCCTGGTAGGTCAAAAAGCAGGACTTGGGAGTCAGCAGAGAAGCAGTGAGAGAGGCAGGGGTGCCTCTAATCTGCAGGGGTTTCTGTGACTCCAGAGCCCCATGGCTGGTCTGCAAATCCTTGCTTGAGTTGAGGGTTCTTGCAACATGACCTTTAAAACCCCTTAACATGTGCACAAGATACTTTCTGTTTCATGGCAGTTAACTAAGTACTTCAAGGAGCAGACACTGGGGGCAGGCCTGGGCCTTTGCATGCTGGCCAGCGGTGCATGTGGGGTCGCCGAGAGGAGCAAGGAGGCATCAGGAGACACGTAGGTCCCTAGGGCAGTATCACACATCTCCTGAGACACTTCCCTGCCTTCTTTCTGTGCATCTGAATTTGGAGCAGTCTATCTGCTTTCTCACTGAAAAACCGGAACGCAAGAGGACCACACAGGGAATTGTAACGGCATCCCAGATCCTTCCTGCCTCCCCCTAAAACCATTCTTGTTCTTTCTTCTGTGTCATCGTTCTAGCTGCTCGCTGTGTGTCAATCTGAATGACTCAAGGATGCCCTCACCAGATTGCAGAGTCGTCTTCCAGACTTTAGAAAAGTTCCTGAAGTTTGTTTACAACTATTTTCCATTTTTTGTTTTGTTTTGATTTTACACTCACTGGTTATGTCACCATCGAGTCGACCCATAGTGACCCTGTGGACAGGAGACCTGAACCCTGGCCTGTCCTGTGCCGTCCTCGTCATCTCTGACACACTTGACCCCATTGTGGCAGTCACTGTGTCAGTCCACTTATTTGAGAATCTTCCTCTTCTTCGCCGACCCTCCACATTCCCAACCATGATGTCTCCTTCCAAGAAATAGCCTCTCCTAGCAACATTCCCAGAGTATAAAAAACGAAGCTTTGTCATCTTGGCCTCTGAGGAGCACTCTGGCTACACCTTCTCCAAAACATATTTGTTCTTTTAGGCATCCATGGGATATTCAGTACGCTTCTCCAACACCACAGTTCAATTCCTCTGTCATCTTTATTTATTGTCCAGCTCTCAAATACATAGCAAGTGATTGAAAAGACCATGGTCTGAATCAAGTGCACCTTAGTCTTCAAACTGACTTCCTTGCTCTCCAGTATTTTGGAGAGGTCCCTGCAGCAGTGGATGGCCATGGGTGAGTGCACTTGGCATGTAACATGTTGAATTATTGGGGCTGCCGCCCAGTCAGTCCTGACTCAGACCTGTCCGGTCTGGTGGAGTTGCGCTGTCCAGTTGTGTTGTCTAGGCTGTCCTCATCACAGCAGAGGGAGCTCTGGTGGCCTGGCCAGCAGGGCGTGGTGCTACTTACCCACAGCTCACACCTCCTGGGCGGCTCAGATCCACCAGTAAGAGAGGTGGGCCTCCCACCCGTGCAATTTACAGCCTCGGATCCCCCGATGGGGGCAGGCATGAGTGATGATCCTAGAAGCAGGTGGACCCATGTTTCCACTGTCAGAGGTGCACCTCAGTAGGTTCAGCTGGGTGTGTTTGAGCCGCTAACCTTGTTAACTGCTGAGTGCTTCCTCATGGCACCCAGAGGGCTCCCTGTAGGGAAGAATAAATCTGTGGGCTACAAACAAGCTTTCAGTAGCATGCACCATCTGCTGGATAAATTGTCTTCTAAGGGGGTCTGTGGTCAGTGGCCCTTGGCTAAGTGGTTGGCACTGGAGAAGCCTTATTTCACAAGCAAGCTCCCCAGAGAGATGTGACCTGTTTGGGGCCCATCAGTAATGTATTTCCCGCTGCAGAGAGCGCGGCCCTGGGGATTGGAGGGGAAGTCCTGCTCTGGGACCCTTTTGCTCACTGGGAAACTCCCAAATCCCTGTATCACCTTGAAAAATCGCAACTCTGTCCTGGATGAAGCTTTCTAAGGGTTTACTTCATCTTTGTTCCTACAAATGTGTGTCTATACTTAGGAATCATACAGCAGTGACCCAAATTTTTAAGGCAGGTAATAAAACAATCTACTGGGGTGGAGCACCCCTGATCAAGCAGGCTGCCGGTCCTGCAGAGGTGCTTCTGAGCCTGAAGACAGAGTCGAGGCATGAATCGTCATTGCACTGTGGCTGGCCACAGAGGAACTGAGAAAAGGAAACTCACTCTGCTCATTAGCAAATGGAGATAGGCAAATAAGGAGGGTCCCTTGTGCCCTCACGTCAAGTGCCACACTCTTGTGTTTTCATCTGTTAAACAGAACAGGCTTCATGCCCCTTTGAGATTCAAGCTGGCAGTTCCTTTTCAGCTATTGCCCTGGGCATCTTCACAGCGCTGGAAATTGAGGGCTCTAGAAAATGGAGTGCTTTCAGCGCAGGCCCCATCACCAGACCTGGACCCGTTCTGTGATTAAGTTGATGCTGAAACTTTAGCTCACAAACTTTGAGCCATTATCAATCCTTGGAAATCATGCTAGAAAAGACGGAGGGCCAGAGAGAGAGAGATGGATACATACAGTGACTGCAACAGGGGTCTTGAACATGGAACCCCTCAAAGAGAATAAGACAGTCCTGAAGATGGCCTAGGGTAAAGCAAGTTAGGTCTTTGGCTTTAAGGTCACCTACAGACCCTTGATGATGGGAGGAGACTGAGAAAGACAGGATGATAAATAATGTATACCGCATTGAAACAGATGACGCAGAGAACTGTTTAAAAGGGATATATGATTAGGTATTATTGTCATGACAGGAGTCCAGAACAAAGGCTGTATAATGGAGTGGACTTTGGGGGAGGGATTGAATCACAATGAAAGAATTTTTCTTTTACTTTTCAAAGAGAAGAGCAAACTGGGGAGGAGTGGGCAGGGAGAAAAGTGCAACAATGAATAAATGGAAATCCAAAGTCTCTGTAAACTTTCATTAAAATTAATAATAACAATAAAGAAAAAAAATACCCTCAATGAGATGGATTGATTCAGTCACTGGGGTAGTGGAGGTAGGTGTATCAGAGACAATAAGATGGGCAAGGGACAGAGCAGGATTTAGGGCTGTTGTACATAGGGTCACTATGAGTCACAGGCAACTCAACAGCACATAACAACAACAACAACAATAATAGACACATTTCTACAGTTCAATTTCTCAACAGTAGCACTATTGGCATTTGGACAGATGATTACTTGTCCTGGGGGCTTCAGCGCTAGAGGACAAAGGTGGGCAATCTCCTCCCATGTGGTTTACGTCTTGGGAAACCCACTGGACGGTCTCCATTATGCATTAGAACTGGTCAATATCAGTGAGTTTAAGATTTTACATGGAGTTTCCATGTGGTACAAATCGCTGCCTGCAAAGCTGCAAGGTCAAGTCCACTCAAAAGCACCTTGAAGAAAGGTCTAAAAAATCTACCCCTGAAAATAATCAGCCACTGAGAACTGGGGGCACCGGTCATTCTCCCCCATGGGAGGCACCATGAGCTGGCATCAACTTGACAGCTTCGGTTTGGGTTGAGATTTCAAGTACATGTGCAGTGTACCTGGCATGTCCCTTGTGTGACCTGGACAGGTTTTGTTCTCTTTGAGGGGCCGTCATAAAAATTCAGAAGCTTCTCTCTTGCTAATAATATTTACCTGAACTAACCAGCCTGTCCCTTCAGTCAGTCATTCCTGCAGCGGTATTCCTGCCTGCCGAGGTGTTGAGCAAGCTCGGCCTTTAAGCCAGGATTCCCACGAGTTCCAGAACTCACCCCGCTCGGCTCGCTCGTTCGGCCTTTCCACCGAGGAGGGCTTACATTCATGGGAGACCCACCTCTGTCTGACTTGGAGGGTCACCACTCTGATGTTAGATCTGGGTTTAGATCCCAGCGCCTCTGCTGACAAGGGGGGTGACCTTGGAGTCATTCACTAACCCTGTGTCTCAGTTGTCCCTCTGAAAACAAGGGTTCTGTGTGGCCTCCATTTGTGTGTCAACAAGGTGTCATGTCTTAATTGCATGCAAATGACAGGCAAATATTTACAACTTCAGGGAGATCAACCGGATGCCAAGCACTTCTCTTTGTTGGTGGGTTCCCTCTGTGCAGAAATAGAGTGAATCGCTTCATCACTGCCTCTATCCCTGCCTGCTCTCTGCAGAGGCTTCTGACTTAAGGGGGAACAAAGGGGGTCCCCTCAGTCCTGAGCGTGCACAGCCAGAGTGTATTGGGAAGCCTGTCAGTGAGCGAATGCACACTCCCCACCTGGGAAAGCACTTGACTACTAACCCTTAGGTTGGCGGTTTGAACCCACCAGCTCGTCTGTGGGAGGACCAAGTGACAGTTGGCTCCCACTGACATCTCAGCCTTGCAAATCCTACGGGGCCATTTTTCTCCACCCTACAGGGTCGCTATGAGTCAAACTCTCCTTAACCTGACAGTGGTTTTAACTTCCTGACAGTTTGTGAGGAAATAACCTCTATTTTAGCAGTTCCTCAGTTGGGACCTGGGTGGAGGCAGGAGAGATGGAGGTTGATTGGTTTGTTTTCTTTTTTACTTTTCTTTTATTAATTTTAATGAAAGTTTACAGAGACTTAGGGTTTCCATTCATTCATTGTTGCACTTTTCTCCCTGACCACCCCCTCTCCCCGCCCCCAATTAGCCCTTCTTTTGAAAAGTAAAATTCTTTCGTTGTTATACAGTCCCTCCCCCCAAGTCCACTCCACTATGCAGCCTTTGTTCTGGACTCCTGTCATGACAATAATACTTAATCATATATCCCTTTTAAACAGTTCTCTCCCTCATCTGTTTCAATGCAGTATACATTATTTATCCCATCTTTCTCAGTCTTTCCTCAACCCAATGTCAGTCCAACTTCACAACATTGTCACTATGCAGTATTTGTCCTTTTGTGACTGAGATATTTCACTCAGCACCATGTCCTCCAGGGTCACCCATTTTGAATAATATTGCATGAGTTCCTTGTTTTTCAATGCAGCATAGTATCCATTGTGTGAATATATCACAGCTTCTCTATCCAATTGTTTGTTGATGGGCACTTAGGTTATTTCTACCTCTTTGCTATTGTGAACAAAGTGGCAGTAAGCATGTGTGAGCATATATCTGTTTGAATGGCACTTATGGTTTCTTTAGGGTAAATTCCCAGTAGTGGAATTGCTCGGGCAAATGGTATTTCTATTTGCACCTTTTTGAGAAAGCGCTGTACAGCTTTCCACAGTGGTTGCATCATTTTATACTCCCACCAACAGTGTGTAAGGGTTCCAGTTTCTCCGCAGCTTTGACTTGATGTTTACTGTTCTGTTGAATTTTGCTATTCTTATTGGGGTGAGATGATATCTCATAGTTGTGTTGATTTGCATCTCTCTTAGAGCTAGTGATTTTGAACATTTCTTCATGTGCTTATTGGCCATCTGAATGTCTTCTTTGGTGAAGTGTCTGTTCATATCCTGTGCCCATTTTTCAATTGGGTTGTTTACCTTTATCTTGTTGTGGTGTGATTGGTTTGTTTTCTGGGGCCTTGTTGTCTCCCGCCCCCGGCAGGGCTCTGATGTCTCATCTGTCCGTCTCAGGTCACCCTCCTGATCGCCTTCATCTGCGTGAGGAGCTCCCAGTGGGCCAACTACAGTGCCTTCAGCTACTTCGAAGTGGTCACCATGTGCGACTTCATAATGATCCTCGCCTTTTACCTCGTCCATCTCTTCCGTCTCTACAACGTGCTCACCTGTATCAACTGGACCTTGTCGGTAAGGGAGTGGCCTGGCCCCAGTCTCAGCTCCCCCCGGGCAGTGGGCGGAGGACCTGATGGAGAAGTCAGAGCATTAAAGGGGGCGCCCTCTGCCCAGCCCCGCTGTCCCCCACCTCCCTCCCTGCCTCCTTCCTGCCTTTGCTTCTTCAGCCCATTGCACCCTCTCCTGGGTCACACCTCCCTGCCAGGCCCAACTGTGTCTGAAACCACTTTTAGCTCCAAGAAGGCAGTGCCTCTCATCTTAACACTTCTCAAGTGACGGGAATGGGCTGTTTGTGAATGAGTGGAGAAGAGAAACAGGGCAGAAAAGAACTCATGAGTAAGGTAGGCATTTATACTCTTAATGAGAAGTGAAGGATAAGACCCTCCAATGAAGATGGGCTGACAGGCTCAGGAGAGAAATCAGAGGTTTCCAGGTTTCTTCCCTCCCTCATTGTATACCTCATCTAATACCTTTGTTGAGATCTAATTCAGATGCCACTGGTTCACCCGTTTAACGTGTGCCATTCAGTGCCTTTTATTATAATCACAGTCACGCAGCCATCACTCTTTTAGAGCATTTTCAAATGAGATTCATTTTAGGAGATTTGCATCTCCTCTGAAAGAAAGCCCAGGCACCAGTGTGTGCTGTATTGTTATTCACAGTGTCCAAGAGGTGGAAACAACTCAAGTAAACTCAAGTGTACAGTAGCAGATGAATGGCAAAAAAACTCCCAAATAGATGGTAGATACTCAGCTGTAAAAAGAAAGGACGCAGGGAGAAAAGTGCAACAGTGAATAACTGGAAACCCTAAGTCTCTATAAACTTTAATTTAAATTAAAAGAGAGAGAGAGAGGACTTTTTGACACATGCCATGAGGTGGATAAACCTTGAAACATGCAGTGAGATAACTCAGGACCTAAAGGGTAAATACTATATGATCCCACTTATATGAAATCACTTGAGAAAGTTAGACAAGAAGGAAGGAAGAGCGGAGGAGCATTGATGCCTTTGAATTGTGTTGGCAAAGGGAATTGAATATCCCTTTTTTGAATATTCCCAGAAGAACAAACAAATCTGTCTTGGAGGAAGTATAACCAAAGCAGTCCTTAGAAACAAAGATGGATTGTTTCCACCTTCTGACTGCTCTAAACAAGGCTTCTCTGAACATCCATGCACTAGTCTTTCTATGACTACATGCCGTCATTTCTCTGTGTATACGTCTAGTGCTGGATCAGGAGACAACTCTGTTTCATCTTTTAAGGAACTGCCAGACTGTTTCCCCAAACGGTTACACCATTTGCATTCCTGTAAGCAAAGTATATAGGAGGATACGGATTCATTACGTCTCCTGCAGCAATTGTTATAGATATCCTCATGGATGTGAAGGGAGCTGTGACGGCCGAGCGGCTAAGGATTTGTGCTGCCAGTTGAAAAGTAGGTGGTTCAAATCCACTAGCTGCTCTGTGGGAGGAACACAGCCACCTCCTGAGCGATTTACGGCTTCTGAAAACCTGCTGGAGGGTCTGCTGTGAGTCACTTCTGACCCTGTACCACCTAACACGACCACCACTATGACTGTGAAGTGGCATCTCATTTTGACTTTGCTTTGTGTTGCCTTGATTTAAAACGTCTTTCTTTTTCATACGTTTGAGGCCGATTTGTGTATCATCTTTGGAGAAAGATGCCACTTCTCTGTCCCTTTTTGTTGGGTTGTTCTCGCTGTTGAGTTCTTTATGGATTTGGGATCGCCAGGTTCTTCTACAAGTTTTCAGAGGCTGGAAATGGCACAGAAGGAGATTGCCCATCTTTCTCCTGTGGAGCAGCTTGTGGATTCAAACTGCTTGCTTTCGGGCTGGCCGCACAGCTCCTTACCCACAGGGCTACCAGAGCTCCCTCTTGTACAGAAGTGAGTCTACACAACAATTGTATGCACTTCTTCCAAGTCACCCACAAACTCAACTTAAAGGCACACTTAGGAGCTTGTTTATAGGCAGGCACTGCCTGCCATTTTAAAGCCCTTGTTGAAGACAGCTGAAAGGGAGGCCCTGCCCTTCTTCTCATGCAGAAGGCAAGGATGGCGTGTGTGCGCTCCCGTCCTTCTCAGTGACAGTGCTTCATGCATCTGTCCAGGGCCTGCAGATGTGTCCTCTCAGCCACAGACAGGGAATGAGGTGGAAACAGAGGCCAGGAATTGCATAGAAGCCAGAACCTGGCCGGACAGACACTTCTAGAAAGAGGAAGGGGGCCAAATGAGGGCAAAACCAGATGGACGAGGACGTGGGAGTGAAAAAGCCGGCTCCACCACACCCTGGGGTCATTTCCTGGGTGACCCGTCCCAGGCCCTGACTCCGAGTGTGGGGGCCCAGCACCTCGGGCCCCTCACTTGGAGCTCTTCACAGAATGGGTGGGTGCTGCGTTCAGCCTGGATCTTTCTCTGAAGCAGCAGGACGAGGCTCACGTCCAGATGAGGCTCTGACTCTGGAAGTACAGTTTCATTTAAGCTCTCCAGCAGAGTGGAGGCTCCTTTCTATCTTAGAAGCTTCAGCCAGAGGTCAAGGCACTGCTTACAAACCCATCTCAGGATGGGAGGGGCCCTCGGAGACTGTGTGTGTCCACAGAGGTCAAGGTGCTGTTTACAAACCCATCTCCGGATGGGAACGGCCATGGGAGACTGTCCACTCAGATGAGACGGTCCCTTGCCCTCTGTCCCCTTACCCTCCTGCTTGCCCAGCTTCTGTCCGGCCCCTTGCTCAGGCCTCTGCCTTCTGCCCTGCTGCCTGCAGGGTGGGCCGCAGTAAGGACAACAGTACAAGTCCCCCAGTGCCCTCGTCACCTCCTCTCATGCCTGCCCTGCGCTGTCTCTGCCCCAGGAGTTCCTGCACTACGCCATCGGCACACTGCTCCTCCTCATTGCCTCCATTGTGGCCGCCTCCCAGAGCCGCAGAGCCGGGGAACTGGTGGCTGGATCGGTGAGGAGGGTCTTGGGGATGGGAGGGGGGCACTTTTAGAATGGATTCTTGTTTCAGATGCTCACTCTCTTCCTTACAGGGTAGAGGACAAACTGGTTCGGGGTGGGGGGGCCTTTCTTCCACAAATCCAACCCCCACTTTGCTGTGTTCCCAGGGAGGGGACCACAGGACAGCGGGGCCCCAACCCCAATGTAGCTTATCCATCATCTGTCTGCCTCGCTTGCAGCCACTGTGAAGTCAGCTGCGGATGAGTTTGAATGTAGGTGCCCACTTCCAGCATCTGCTCACAGCTGCTTCCCCACTATAGAGATGCTAGAGCTGCTTCTAGGCCAGGAGAGGGCCGTCTGCTCAAAGCCGCCCTCCGGGTGTCCCAGGATCCCCATTCCTGCTTGTGACAGGTACTCAGAGCAGCACGTGTATCTGTGCAATATATTCCAGAGGTGGAAACTGAGCCATTCGATAAAGGGCTGTGGGAAAGGAGTGTGTGTACTTTATATGCACACACAGAGTACGTACACAGTTACATGGACACGTGCAGAGATGTGTGTCTCTGTGTGTGTGTGATTTCTTTCCCCCTAAAGGCTCATAGACACCTGTCTTCTGATCTATGGTTTCATATCTGATCTGCCTCATTGTTCAGCTCAGTGGCCCTCAGGTCAGCTCCAGTTCCTCTAACCAATGAACAGGCAAGATTTTTCAAATAAGTTTTGAGAAACTCCATATACAAAGTGAGGAAGAGGCGCTCTTGAAACTCACCGATGGAGGACGGAGAGTCTGTCTTCCACATACAACCACACACGGCAGAGCGTCACTGCAGTGGGTTCGCCGGGAACCCCTGAATGCTCAAGAGACCCCTTCAGTGTAACCCAGGGCCCCCACCGACCCCGTGCTGCCTCTGAAGTCAATGTCACCTGCAGGTTCCCACCTGCCCAGCCACAAGGTCCGGGAAATCCATGCCCTTCAGGGACACGGGGAGAGCCCAACCAGGTTTTATGAGTCAGACCCTGTCAGTCCTGGAATCCACCCAATGTGAGCATTAGTCATGCTTCACCCTGTGTCTGTGATCAGATCTGGGCCCTGGGGATGCAGGGAAGGGACAGAAGAAACAAAAAAATCTATTCGCTGCTTGCACAAAAGTATCATCTAGAAGGGAAGAGCAGAAAGCATAAAAAACAATTAGCCAACAAGACAACATAGTCCCAAATAGCATCATGTAAACCATATAATAAACTCTTCAATTATGCAGGGCAGACAGTCGGGGACTGGGGCTGTGTACAATGTGCCGGTTGTGGAGCTCAGACAATGAGGGGCCAGGCTGGGCTCTAATGGGCTAATTATGTGGTACAGACAGTTGACACAAAAGGAGCCGAAGAGAGGGACTCAGGGAGGAGAGAGGTTGTGGGTTGGAGGGATCAGCTGTTGCATAACCAAGCCTGAGCGAGAGAGACAAGGCCTGCTGGCAGTCCCACCTCCTGCATCTGCTATTGGCCACGGCCAAAAGGCTTTAGCTGGTGACCTCAGCCTCACGTCAGGGTGGCACAGCAGACCCGAGGCCTTTTGGGGAGCCTCCGGTCATCTCTTCAGTCACCTACTATGCAAATGAGAGCTGGACAGTGAAGAAAGACAACAGAGGAAAGATCAATGCCTTTGATGTGGTGCTAGAGAGGAGTTTGGAGTGTCCCATGAACGGCCAGAAAGAGCAAACAGATATGTCTCCGAGAAAGTGCAGCCAGAGGGCTCCTCGGAGGCAAAAATGGCCAAGGTCCATCTCATATGCTTCAGGCATGTTGTTAGGAGGGGCTGTTCCTTGTCAGCGAAAGAGGGGAAGATGCACAATGAGGTGAACTGACACGGTGACTGCAGCAGTGGGCTCAGGTGTGTTAGAGATGATGAAGAAGATACAGGATAGGGCAGGGTTCAGACCTGTTGTTCATAGAGTCAGCTTTGTATGAGCCGTGCTCAACTCGACAGCGCCTAACGACAAACAAGAAGACCATCCCGGCGATAAATACAGCAGAGTGGTCTCTGGGTCTGCCTCCCTGGGCTCAGCCCCCATCTCTGCTGCTCGCCTGTGTTTTCTGTGACCATCGGTAGAATAACCGACTTCTCGTGCCTTTTCTTTAGCTGTAATATGACAAGGTGACGTCAGGGCCTCTAAAATATACCTCACAGAGTTATCTCAAGGGTGAACAGAATCAGCACTCCTCCAAAAGTCTTAGAAGTTCCTGGGTGCACGAGCTAGGTGCTGGATGACTGGCCCCAAAGGCTGGCAGTTCAAACCTAGCCAGAGTCTCTTGGGAAGACAGGCCTGATGACGTGTTCCCAGGTCACACGCTTGAAGACCTGGAGTAGTTCTGGTCTGCGTATGTGGTGTCGCCATGAGCAGACGACTCAGTGCCTGGGACCCACTAGGCCACCAGAGCTTCCTGGTAGAGAGTGAGTGCTCAATAAATGTTAGCCACTACAGCCGCCAGTATTGTTCATAAATAAGGAAGGGAAATTCCTTCAAAGCTTATAAAAAGGCACCACCATGGTTTGCTCCTGCTTCTGCCACGAGCATTTAAGGAGCCTCATTCCAAACCCGTCCCTCAGGTGCTATGTGGCTGGACTGAGCCCAGTCAGCTTTCCTCGCCCTCACGCGCTGGATGGGCCCGTGAAAGGAAGGGAGCTCTGCCTGAACTTATCTTCGCTTAATATTCTTTAAAGATGTGCAAATGTAAAAATTGCACACAGATGCCACAGCTTTTGGACCTAACAGGAGATGACGCTACAGGCCAGATAAAATTTTTTTAGTATAAATTTCTATTTTATTTTATTATTTTTGTGTGAGTGTACCGTCAAATCAGATCTGACTGGTACAGGAGGAGATTGTCCCTCCTTCCCCGGCAGAGCATCTGGT